TCATAAGATTTTCTTTTTAGCAAGTCAATAATCCAATCAATACTGGGACTGTGGTTGTTGGTATGATTTGAGCTGTAGAGTGGAAACACATTCTTCTTCAGTCAATATCAAAATGAGGATATTTCTATTGCAAATTCCCATCTTGTTTTCAAGAAAAAATACAATGATCCTGCCATCCTGCTAATCTCAATCGTCCGATGGCCAACAAGCTAACCACTAGCATCTGCTATTTTGCTGTTATGTAAATATTCACGCATTCTTGTAAGAGCCATTTTCTCTTTGTAATGAGCCATTTTCTCTTTACGATTATATTTTCTAACCACCATGCGTGATGTCCTTATATAATCTTTTTTCATTCAAAAAGTGCCTTTTGAATTTAAAAATTTTCCATAAGAACCCCTCGATTTTCATCTATTTCCATAAGCGCCCCCTCAATTTCCATTCTGTTTTCATAAGCGCCCCGTTTAAATAAGCGCCCCGTTTGAATAAGCGCCCCTCAGAAAGTGAAAAAAATATTTTAAGCGCCCGGGCGCTTATTCGCGCGAGTACGGTACCTAGATTTGCCACTGTTTCAACTTTATTTCCTAAAAAGGGGGCTGGGGGCTCCTTTGTTATTAAATCCACCCATGTATCTTCAGTGTCCATGTATTGTAAACTTTGTCAGATTTGTTTCCATTTTAGGATGTTTTCATTGAAATATTTCATTTATCTTTTCTTATTAGATCGACGAATAAAGGTTTATCAAGGTGATCACTATGTACTTGACTTTAATATGATGGCGGCGATGATTGATACTTCATTTTGGAAACATAATACTGTTTGTTGAGAATATTTTAATAATATTTCAAAAATCGATTTCTGAGTTCGCAATGTTGGTTCACATTGATTACATTTTAAAGGACATCGGGGAGTATGGGCGATTCCAGCGATTTCAAACACTTCTCCTTTGCCTCTTTACTCTTTTCTTTTCCTTCCAAATGCTAAGCCTTCGCTACATTGCTGAGGTTCCAGAGACGTTCTGCTACGTTCCTGAGATTATGGGCGTCCATAGTTACTATGGATACTTAAGCTACGAAGAGAGATTGGTCATTAGCAAATTGACAATTCCATGGAATATAAAACCGGCTTTTTTAGAAACACGGAATTCCCTGATCGATACGTGCCACAGATACAACATCAATTCAACATTTAAGATTGGAGATAGTTTGGTTGGCATAGCATCGATACCATGTGATCATGGATGGGTATATCATAATTTGGAGATCCAATCAGTTGCTACAGAAGTGAGAGTATTAACTTTTGTTATTATTATTATTATTATTATTATTATTATTATTATTATTATTATTATTATTATTATTATTATTATTATTATTATTATTATTATTATCATCATTATCATTATCATTATCATTATCATTATCATTATCATTACCATTACCATTACCATTACCATTACCATTACCATTACCATCATCACCATCATCACCATCATCACCATCATCATCATCATCATCATCGTC